CGCAAGAGGATTCTTTGGCAGCAATGTTGGAAGAATTCCTGCAAATCGAGGAGGGGGGGATAGGAGTAGGGAAGAGTGCATCGCTATCAAAAATGATATTCTTTTGTGTTTCATTTGGTGAGGCTTCTCCTAAGTAAATCTGTTTAGGGCCGGACTGGAAACCCAGCAGTTTGCAGGATCGGTGGTGTGTCATTATGTTTGATTAACTGCAGCAGACAATCTTTCCTTCTACCATTGTGCAGTGTTCAAAAACTTCCAAGCTAGAACTTTCTATTTTGGTTGATGATTGGTGTGATGTGATTGATTATTCTTAAATGGTAGCGGGGAGGTGAGGAAGGGGGGAAAAAAGTAGTTTTAGAACGATATTGTATCACTGAAGAGGCTTTTAGGAACCTTGGTTTATAAATCTTTCCAGTAAATTGATGGAAGGAAGCAATTCTGTCTGGCAAACTAATTAGACCACTGGCGTATTTCCTAATAAAAAATAAATAAAATAAGCACGGAACGGACAGATTCTTTGTGTGCGAGCATTTTCTGCTGTTAATGTGGAAATACCGGCTGCTAATCTTCATCAACATGTCAGGAAAGAGGAGATAGCAAAGCAAAGGACATCAGACTGACCGATCGTTGTTTTCAGTGGATGAATTCTTCTGAGTTTTTGCGGTGGAGATAGGATCAGGTCAGTAGTGGTATTCAGTTGGTTCTATCCGGTTTGGGCAAACCGGTAGCGGCGGTGGCTGTTGTGGTCCACCAGCAGCCTGAGGAGCTGGCAGTGGAGTCAGAAAGTGAGGAGGCTGAGGTAGAACATGGACCAGTCCTGGAGGCTGGGGAAGGCCTGGATGAGGGCTCTGCATCAGAGGCAGAGATGGGGCCAGGGCCATCGGGGAGTGATGTGCGGACTCCGGAGCCTCCAGAGGCTGACAGTAGAGAGGCTGAGGAACAGGAGGAGCCTGTTCCTAGTGCACGTATGAGAAGAGCTGCCAGAAGGCAGGAGCAGCTACAGAAAAGACGACGACTCGGGAGTAGGGCCAAGAGATGATTGGCCCCTCCCATAAGGCTTAAAAGACCAGCAACGGCTCTTGGTCTCTTTGTCGGAAAACAACGTTGATAGACTTGTTCTTGTCTTGTTGCACTTACTAAGGTATTGGTTCTCACCTTTAAAGCGCTCCATGGCTTAGGGCCAGGGTATGTACGAGACCGCCTGCTGCTACCGATAACCTCCCACTGGCCAATACGCTCTCACAGAGAGGGCCTCCTCAGGGTGCCGTCGGTCAAGCAATGTCGGCTGGCGGCCCCCAGGGGGAGAGCCTTCTCTGTGGGGGCACCCGCCCAGTGGAATGAGTTACCTCCTGGAATACGACTGATCCCGGACCTCCGGACCTTCCGTAAGGCCCTGAAGACTTATTTATTCCACCAAGCCGGCCTAGCCTAAATGGTTTTTAATGGGATTTTTAAATTTTTTAGATTTGGGGTTCTAAATTGGGAGGCCGATTGATTTAATTTCTTTTAATAATCTTAACTTTTGTATTCTATGTATTTTTAATTTTGGCTGTCCACCGCCCTGAGTCCCTTCTGGGAGAAAGGTGGTATACAAATTAAATTAATAATAATAATAATAATTATCCTGGGACACATCTGTTTGCCTTCATTTGTTATGAGTTTATAGTTCATTTCTAAATGTCTAAGTTGGCAACTTTAAGTCTTTATTTAGCTCCACAAGCCACTTTCCTCTGGCTCGCTGGCGGATGAGTTGTCACTCTCGTTTGTGCTTCCAAATCTCTTAATTCTCCGTATTTATATTTTAAAAATAAAGCTTAGAGTGTCACCAATCTTTCTGATGGGGTTTGGTAAATATTCATAGCCTACAGATCAGGATCCGGGCATCCATTTTTCCTCCAGTATCAGGAGTGAAATGCTCCCGGTTCGGATCGGATCGCCCGATCCGGTAGCGATGGAGGCGGATGGTTCAGAGAACCGGCAGCAAAAATCCCTGCCCCCCCCCATTGCCCAGCTGAGCCGCGCAATCATCAGAGGCTTTTTTTTTTTATTTTTAAAAGCATTTTTTCTACAACCTCTTTGGCCGAAAAAAATGCTTTTAAAAGTAAAAAAAAAAAAAGCCTCTGATGATCGCGCGGCTCAGCTGGGATCATCAGAGGCTTTTAAAAGCATTTTTTCTACAACCTCTTCGGCCGAAGATGTTATAGAAAAAATGTTTTTAAAAGGAAAAAAAGCCTCTGCTGATCAGGCAAGTCAGCTGGTCTCGTCAGAGGCTTTAAAAGCATTTTTTAACAACCTCGTCAGCCGAAGAAGTTGTAGAAAAAATGGTTTTAAAAGTAAAAAAAAAAAATTGGCCACGCCCACTCAGTCATATTACCCCCTCCCCCATCAAGCCATGCCCACAGAACCGGTAGTAACAAATTTTACATTTCACCACTGTCCAGTATGTTCATTTCAGATCTTAATGTAATGCAGCAGCTGTGCGTGCACATTTTGCCACAGATACAGTTATATACTGTAGGAGAATGACAAATGACTTTAAAATGTCCTCTCTTCGGTCTTTTTATTATTATTATTATTTTTACGATGCTAGAAATTCTCGTTTTTAGCAGCTCTCTTTAGAAGGGGAAGAAATGCATGGCCGTTACTGATGCAACTGGACTTGCACCTATGGGAGTGGAGAGATATGGCAGTGTTATTCCAGAAATGACAGTTATCAAACCCAAGGAATTGTTCTTTTTCCCTCTGGCTTCCATATCTCCTTCCATGCTCCATTTAGTGCCAGGCAGAAATTCTCCTGCATATAATTTTCTCCTTACATTTTGCTCTCGTTCCGTTTGACGAAAGGCAATTTGCTTTTTTTGAAGTTTTGTAGAAGAAGCAGAGAAGCCTGGTGACATTTCCACGGCGAGAGTGTCGTGTTCCTAAGCTGCTTTAGTGGTGAAGGTGACCCATCGAGGGAAGAGAGGGGGGCGATGGGGGTAATCAGGCTTTCTCTGTGGTCTCGCTGGCTTCTCCTCCTTTACTTCTAAGAACTCATCTTTGGGGCTTCATCTTTTGAGATATTCTTGGCACTAAAGAGGAGGAGTCTTGCTTTTTAATATATATGTGTGTGTGTGTATATATTTGTTTTCTGAGGTTTTCGCGGGTATTTGTATGTAGGTCTTTGGTTATTCAGGTTTTCTCCCGCGTAAAATTGGAAGTACCTTGGTGACGTTTCAACCAAGTCTCATTCGTCATCTTCAGGCTGGTGTCTTCGGCCTTGTGCTTCTAGAAGAGCAACCAAGATAATGAGGGGACTGGAGGCTAAAACATACAATGAATAGTTGCAGGAACTGGGCATGGCTAGTCTAGTGAAGAGAAAGACCAGGGGAGACAGGATAGCAGTCTTCCAGTATTTGAGGGGCTGCCACAGAGAGGAGGCCAAGCTATTTTCCAAGGCACCTGAAGGCCAGACAAGGAACAATGGATGGAAACTGATCAAGGAGAGATTCAACCTGGAAATAAGGAGAATTTTTCTGAACAACGGAACAGAAGTTGCCTTCAGAATTTTTGGCAGCTTCATCACTGGAGGCTTTCAAGAAGAGACTGGACTGCCATCTGTCAGGAATGGTGTAGGGTCTCCTGCTTGGGTGTGGGTGGTGGACTAGATGACCTACAAGCAGGGGTGAAATCCAGCAGGTTCTGGAAAACCGGTAGTGGACATGTTGAGTAGTTCGGAGAACCAGCAAATACCACCTCTGGCTGGCCCCAGAGTGGGATGGGAATGGGGATTTTGCAGTATCTTTCCCCTGCCATGCCCACCAAGCCACACCATACCACCAAGCCACGCCTACAGAACCAGTAGTAAAAAAAATTGAATTTCACCACTGCCTACAAGATTCCTTCTAACTCTGTTAATCTGTTAATAAGCCCATAAAATAGTCTTGAATAGTGAGATGGAATGTCCATTCACACTTGAATCGAACATGCTACATTTCCTTGATTTAGCAGGGGAAAATAAGGCAGAAAAAAATGAGAGATTCTGCAGCTGCTCTCAGCATTGCTCAGAAAGGCCAGACGCTGCCAGACGAGCTAAGATAGCAGACATTACTCTTTTCAGACCCCAGATGCTAACACTCAAAAGTAGGAAAGCCTGGCGAGATCACCAATAATCCAGCCAGAATTCAGCCATCTAAAATGGCAGGATTTAATGTGATGATTTTAGTTTAGGATTTTATAATCTTATAAGATCGGGTGATTTCATGAAATCGATAGGGGCAATATCATTTTTTGATACACGGTGGCTCAGGGACTAAGACGCTGAGCTTGTCGATCGAAAGGTCGGAAGTTCAGCGGTTCGAATCCCTAGTGCTGCGTAACGGGGTGATGAGCTCCCGTTACTTGTCCCAACCTAGCAGTTCGGAAGCAGGTAAAAAATGCAAGTAGAAAAATAGGGACCACTTTTGGTGGGAAGGTAACGGTGTTCTGTGCGTCTTTGGCATTGAGTCATGCCAGCCACATGACCACGGAGACGTCTTCGGACAGCGCTGGCTCTTCGGCTTTGAAACGGAGATGAGCACCACTCCCTAGAGTCGGGAACGACTAGCACATATGTGCGAGGGGAACCTTTACCTTTACCTTTATGTGTATCTTTATTATTTTAACAGAGATACAAACTCTCTTTTTTCCTGTTGGTGTTGTTGATGTATGCACTTGTGTTTTAGAAATTTTTGCTTTAATTCCTGTTGTTGTTGCTTGAGTCCCTACAATGTTCAGGGTAGAGATCAGCTACTAAAATAAAAGGTAGATGAATGATTTGAGGATGGAAGTTTCTGTGCATGGAAAGACCAACCTCCGCATCTCCCTCAGGTCTCTTTTCAGATTCCGGGTGCCTTGGAAATCCCAGTTCAAAATCGGGCAATCGAAAATCAGATTTGCCTGGAGTTTGCCTGCAATCCCTACTCTGCCTGTTGCTTCCCAATAAGCTAATCTCCCTGCTTCTTCCTTCTTGTCTTCTCCAGGGTAATGATGATGATGAGTCCGTGGACAAGAACAAGTGCTGTACACTCTGTAACATGTCCTTTACCTCAGCGGTGGTGGCTGAGTCACACTATCAAGGGAAAATCCATGCCAAAAGATTAAAACTCTTGCTAGGAGTGCAGCCGACTTTAAAAGCCACCGGTAAGTCCAACGACGCTGGTAAGAAATTGTCTTATGTGTAGCAGAGGTGGGATTCACTTACCTTCCTTACCGAGTTTGCAAATGGGAGCTCCGCACATCCACACGGCCTTCTGTGCATGTGCAGTGCTCGCGCATTATGCCCTGGTGGTGGGCAGAGCCTCCTTCAATCACCGCTACCGTTTCGCCCGATCCGGCGAGAACCGGATGTGTAGGCACCCCAAAAGAAGCCAATCAGATATCATTACTTTTTGCTACAACAGCTTTTTCAAAATAACTATGCTGATTAGGGAAGGAACCCAGTCTTGTTATTACCCTCTGATTGAAATTGTGATAATGGCCATCTACTTAGATGATTTTTAGAAGAGAATGGAGAACTTCAAGGGGGGAGGGTCAACTTATCAACAATTCTCAGCTTTGAGGTCTCCATGCGGTCATAGAATTACAGAGAATAGTTTTTAAGAACCAGCTACTAGAAGAGAGGTATTGTACCCCCATTTTCCTCCTTATGAACTCCTCAGTGCATCTGGTTGGCCGCCATATGACCCAGAATCCTGGCTTGCATAGGCCTAGTAGTGGGTTTTAATTTCGTCCGTGACCGGTTCACTTGCGGGCATGCACGCACTTCTGCGCATGTGCAGAGATGTCCAGGCGGGTGGGCAGAGCCTCCCACCACCGCCGCTACTGGTTCACACAAACCGGTAGCAACCCACCACTGGATAGGCCTTTGTAGCCTCAGGACTCTTGCTATGCTCTTAGGAATAGGAACCTATTTGGAAGGTAATACTGGTCTGTAACCAGAGGTGGGTGTCACATAATTTAACAACCAGTTCACCCAGCACTTTGCTCACGCACACGGCTTGTACACATGCACGTGGCTTAGAAAATGTGTCTAAATAGGATGGCATAGCGCTGGGGCGGGTGGATCCACGAACTGGTCCAAACCGGCTGAATCCTACCACTGTCTGTAACCTTTGAATATTAGTTGCTCCGATTGGTACTTATGTTGTGGGTGTCAGGTCCCAGATGTTTCTACAGGGACTCTGGAATTTTGGTGGGAGGAAGGGGGAAGGAATGGAGTGATCTGTATATGACGTTTCTGTTTCTGTTTCCCTGTAATGATGTAGTGTGGGAGGGGTTTGGTTAGCATTGCTTTAAATAGCTGGTTTTAAGTGAGAAGCTTCAGTTCTTGCCTAGATCTCTTGTTATCACAAACCTTTCAATAAAAGCTCCTTTTGGAACAACTGCAATTTCAAGATTCCTGCTTTCTTGGGAATATTGGAGAGGCAAGACCTTACAGTTGGTTTGAGCTCTGAGCTTGGCAATTTGGTTGCAAACAAACAATACCAGCACTAATTTACATCACATGGACGGTACTTAAACCCAAGGACTATGACTCAGCAACTACAGCCAGCCAACCACATAACCTGAAATCAGTCCAGGACTCAGCAAGGTACAGTATTTAAAGCCCAGGGCTCCCCCAGATGAGCACAATCCAAAGCGCACTGAAGATGTCTCCTCGAATGGGGCCGAAACATTTGCAACCAAATTGCCAAGCTCGGAGCTCAAACCGACAACATAACTGGTCTGTAACCGCAGTGAAAATGGATTGATTGATGTGAAATGGAGAAACCCGGAGTAGATGCCGACTTCTGAATTATGTATAGAAGGAAGTTCTTCTCCACTCATTTTTAGAACTCGGGGTCATCCATTAAAACTAAATAGGGAAAGTGGTTAGGACACAGTTGAAAAAGTACTTCTTTCCACAATACCAACTAGAAACTTCAAGGTCATCCCCTTTAAATGGTTTTAAAAGTAGACTGGGCAGGAGAATCTGGCAATGCATGACTACTAGACACAGGGAGCATCTCTGAAATACTAGTTCTTAGGGAAGCAACAACGGAAAGAGGAAAATCACTCTCCAGTCCGTACGTGCGATTTTTCTTGAATGCATCTGGTTGATTTGATTAAGAACACTCGTTTAGTTAGTCATCAACTGGGACTTGTCTAAAACTCTTAGGTTCACCTCCCAGCATTCCTGGCTTGTTTGTAGATAATGAGAAATGTAGTCTGGCAGATTTTGAGGGCAAGAAAATGAGGAAGGCTGATCTACATAACCATCCATCTGGTTCTTTCGTTCCAAAAGGAACTCCCATTTCTTTGAAACGCGCTTGTAAATTTGACACTCCTCTCTCTGACAATGCGTAACCGGTTCTGGAATTGCCTTTAGCTCAGCGAATGCGTTGATATCTCCCTCCAGCATCCCACAGAGTACAATATCATTTTACTTTTAACTTTGCAGAGATGTTAGGGGAGAGAGAGAGAGAAATTCTTCTTAAAGAGTATTTTTTGGTTGGCTGGCCTCTTGAATTTTGTCTGATGTTTTGGTTTCCTCCTCCTCCTCCTCTGCTTAGACTATGCATCCATCATTAATTTTCACATTTAAGAAGTTCAGATGTCAGTAGCAGATAATTTAGCCATTGGAATGTCAAGTGCAAAACTCCCTGCAAAGTTCTTACATGAAGAGCAGCTACATTTTTCCAAGGCTGTCACTCAAATGCTCAAATAGAAAATTAAAAGAACAAGCAGGAGTGGCAATAAAGTACACTGAATTTTACATTTATTTATTTATTTATTTGTTCGATTTATATGCCGCCCTTCTCCGGAGACTCAGGGCGGCTTACAATGCATTAAGCATTTGCATTTCATACTTCTAAATGGTGGGGGGGAATCTGATTATTACAATCAACCTAAAACTAGCACTGTAAATATATTGTGTTCATTCCCCCTTCTTTGTGTTACAGCTGCAAATCTGGACTCCCATTTTGGGTAAACTAAAAATAGTTATCTGGGTGTGGTAGTTTGGGATAGAAATCTCTCATCATTAGCCTCTTGGCTAGGACTAATGATAAGTGGTGCTAAGATATCCACTGTGGTGGAATGCTATCTGGATGCCCAGGAGAGTGAAAAAAATGCACTCCGGAGGAGCAAGAGATAACTCGGTTCAAATAATTTGTGTGGGAGAAAGAGTGTTGAGACGGTTCCTCTTTAATAGTTCCCAGAGTAATTTAATTTAATTTAATTTAATTTAATTTAATTTAGTTTAGTTTAGTTTAGTTTAGTTTAGTTTAGTTTAGTTTAGTTTAGTTTAGTTTAATTTAATTTAATTTAATTTAATTTAATTTAATTTAATTTAATTTAATTATTTAATTTAATTTAATTTAATTTAATTTAATTTAATTTAATTTAATTTAATTTAATTTAATTTAATATCGCATTTCTATGCCGCCCAACTCCCGAGGGACTCTGTACCGTATTCCCAGAGTACCATATAAGACACTCTGGAGTATAAGATGCACCTTAGTTTTTGGGGAGGGAAATAAGAAAAAAAAGTCTGCCTCTGCCGAGCAGCATCCATCGGTATTCATCTGGCTAGCGTCCTGTCAGTGTGTGAGAGAGTTGAGGGCTGTTTGGAAACTGAAACAGTATTCGTTGTGTGAGCAACAAGGAAGGAGACAGCAAGGAGCCTGGGCGTGGCTTAGCTCTGCAGTTCTGAGTCTGTGCTGAGCTGTAAACTAGTCTGCTGCTTCCATGTGTTTTCCCAAACTGAGATTGTTGATGTTGTCTAGTGAGGAAAGTAGTAAAAATAAATGAGAAGCATGGTATTAACTCCATTCATTTAATTGAACTTTTATTCCACATAATTAAAATCTAATTTTTTGGGGGGAATGTGGTTTCAAATGTGGAAGGCGATATTGACTTTAGGAAACACATGGAGGTGTGTGGGAAGAGCTTGGAATTTCTACTTGGTTGCAGAATAGACTGAATTACTTTGGAAATAAGTAGAACCCTTATCTTTCTTTCCCCCCCCCCCCCTCAAAAGCAGCTTAACTTGTCTGGAAGGCAATTTTATTCAAGCTGGGAAAATGCTTATAATGTTAATTAACGAGTGAGCAAAATTCAATGATAAAACTTTCAGTAATTTCAACAAAATGCTTCTTCCCTCCCTCTGGCCCCAAATCCTTGCCTTATGACTGCCTTATGATGTTAAGTGACTCAGAATCGTTTCTTTTTAAATATATTAAATATATTATTTTTAAATATATATATAAATTTTTAAATATATTATTGCATATATATATTTTGCATATATATATATATATATATATATATATATATATATCTCGATAGATAGAAAAACGCCCTCACAGCATGAACAAACGAGACGATACCTCCCGCCTACCAGCCATTTGGAAACCCGCTCTTATTGACAAACGAGTCCCTAACACGACGAATGACACCAGACCCTCACTCACGAGAGCCACACAGGATGTCACCACCACACATCCACGCAGAAAGCAGACTCAAACCCACACTGATAATGAGCCACGACCAAGGACCAGAAGCCAGACCGCAGCTGCATCATTAGCCACTTTAAACCCCTCCAATCCATACATGAAGCAGACTGACACCCACCATGAAGAGCTCGCACGGCCACAAACACGAAGCCAAACAACAACAACGCAGCTCACCAGCTCAAATCCCCCTGCAACTCAGACTAAGCTGAGCACAACCAAGCCCCCACCCAAACAGAACACACCCCCAGCCAATCAGAGCACAGCCAAGCCCCTAACCAATCAGAACACACCTCCACCCAATCAGAACACAGCCAAGTTCCCACCCAATCAGCTCACACCCCCACTAGCAGTTAAAAGGAAGAGACAGCTGCGATCTCACATTGCTCCTGGAAGCACGAAGCCGAGAACACCAGCCTGAAGATGACGAATGAGACTTCGTCAAAACGTCGCCAAGACACTTCCAATTTTACGTGGGAGAAGACCCGAATATTTCATTTTACATCACAACTTCAATTTTGCAGCAGTGATATACTGGTTGTATCAGCACCAGTATCAACAGTAGAGACCTTCAAATTTCTAGGTTCTACCATATCTCACGACCTAAAATGGACACCCAACATCAAAAACGCCATCAAAAAAGTATAA